ATGTGGGTGACTGCCAACAACTATGTCAGTTTTTCGCAACATTAACCGCAGTCATCCATGCAGTACATGCAGAGCAAAACAATTCGCTGATGATAGAAGAGGAGATGAATGTTACGCTTTTCAAATAGTAATGAAATAATAATATCAATAGCCCTAATTATATACAAGCAAACCTTTTACTGCAAAGCTCTGGGGCCACAATCGGCGAGAGTAGAGAGCTTTAATTATTCATACAATTCCCAGAGGAAGAAAGTAAGCTACGTATCTGCTGACTGAGAGTGTTGTGCAATCAGATACGATCAGACAGAGGGTATGAGTGCATTTGTCAAAAACCAGTTGGTAAGGAACCATGACCGTTGAAGAACCTCATATACAGTAGATCATGAAACAACCTGCTGCTCTGACCATGTTTTACTCTTCACTACTGTAAAAAAAAAGAAGAAGAAGTTGCCTCTTTTGTTTGTTTCTACAGAAAAAAAAACATTTGCTGCAACAATATGACCTGAATGTGCGCTTGTCAAATAATCATGAAACCGTGAAATAATCAAGTCAATTAGTCTGGATAAATCGAGATAAATCAATGGTCTTAAATTAAGTTAATTGCTGTATCAAAAACATAAATAACAACAGGTAAATGTATGCATTTCTCATCTAATTGTATTTCTTTGACTAATTGAAAGAATGGATTTAATTACAAATTTGTTAATCTAGAACTCAAAACTTTGCTACATGGATTTGTTGAATTTTGGAGGACGCACTGAAAGTTGCTTTCAAACCTTCAGTAAACGACTTGTTCTCAACAATATTTATCAGCCTACAGTCTCGTGCAATTCATTTGACAAACATGTCCTTCTTTACTGCCCAGCACATGGTGAGGGCGGTCGGACAAGAATAAATACTTAAAAAATAAAAATTAACACAATTAATGCCAAAACATCTTCAGTCTGTTGCTTGGTTTCATGTGGATGTAACATAGATATAATTTAATTTATTAAAAAGTCCAGCAGGGCAGTGAGGGGAAGTGTGTCATGACTTTCATTACTCATGGGACTGCATGTAACTGTGCAAACAACAAGTTGCTCTTCTTTGCTTTTTGGCAAAAATTAGCACGTCAGCTTTTTTGACATCATCGTCTGCTCACAATAATTACGAAACCAAACAGTGAAGTCGCAGTAGAATCAGTCAAGTGACTTCAGCGTTACTGCTTCGTTTGTTTCAGAAGCAGAAATGCTTGTTTTTGTTTTTGGTACACTTGTAGCCACACATGGTAATAGCAGTTAGCCACATATATATATATTGTGTGTATATATACATATATATACACCTAGCAGTTAGCCACATATATATTGTGTGTGTGTATATATACATATATATACACACACATTTGATTTATATTTCTCAGTTAACATACAACAAACTCAAGACAGCGTAACAATAAGGTCGCTTCCTCCTGCTTGTATGTCATTTTCGGTAGGAAAACTGATATAAACTAATGTAGAAAAAAAATATAATCTAATAATAATAGTATACGTTTCTTAGCCTCCAACAACTTGGATTTTTGTGTGTGAATTTATTAGTCTTATCTTAGCCTCCAACAACTTTTTTTTTTTATTTTTGTGTGTGAATTTATTAGTCTTATTAAGACTCTTGGTCACAGACTCCGAATCCTTCTTATTTTATGGGTTTTAACATCACTTTCTGCTTTCTCTGACTTAGTTAGTGCCACCTACTGGCCCGTTTTTTGGTTGGTAATCATTTCCACCACAAAGTGCTGTCACAACCTTTTGAACTACAGTATATTGATCCCATATTTTGGGAAATTCTTGTGTTAACAGCAGATATGCCCAGCAGGCACTAAGCATGTGGTTCATCTGGGAATCGAACTCTCTGCTTCCGAGGCAGGCTGTGGAACTGACTTGCAGAAAAGAAAGGTAAAACAACAGCAAGAGATTATCTTTGCTGATCAATACAATCATTATACCTTTTATGAACTATTAAAATTACCGAACAACCAATGCTATATGACTCTGGTTTAATGTTTTATTATTATTATTAATTTTACATTCTATACATTTAACTGTGTTAATTTACATTCTATACATTTATCTGTGTTAAAGGTTCAGGTTTTCCTACGCGGTTGAACCCGTTCTTAATGTTTTGAAAAAAAAAATCGAAAAATATATACAGTGTGTGTCTGTTTTTGTTTTTCTAAAGACGAAATATGTGAGCAATAAAAGGCTAATGTTAGTTGTCAGAGCCATTTCCGCTAACGCGTCGATGTCAAACATGATCAGCGAGAAGCTGTTCATATCAATACAGCGTTTTAAAGCATCTTCCGTCCATCTATTGCATCAAACATCCAAATACGTTTGTTTTCATTTACTCACCTGAGTGTTGGGTGAATATATTGATGGCTGGATCTGGCACCGCGATTGCAGCGGTCCTGCCCGGTGGTGTCCCGATGCTACAGCCGGGTTCTCGGGGTCTTCTCCCGGCGCCGCTCCCCCGGTTCCCTTTCCCTTGGTGTGGTTGAGACGCGTGGGGCTGTGGTGGCTGGAGTGCGGTCGATGAGCCTTCACCGACGCGGCCTACCTGCTGTCCCATCCCGCTGGTTTAGTGTACGGACGTCTGGGACGAAGCGAACAACCCCCACTGCGCTCCTCTGGCTTACATTCCCACGAGCTGGAGCGGCCTGGCCGGAACAGTCTTCCCCAGTGCCTTCCCTGCTCGTCTCCTCCGTTAGGCTAACGTTCCTAGCGCTGTTAGCAGCTAGGCTTAGCAATGAACAGTGAAACCCACCCACCCTCACCTTTAACAAAAAAAAAACTGCAACACGGCTTCGTGACAGCGGCTCTCTCCGGTCCGGTAACCCAGATAGTGTTCAAGCAGAAAGTAACGGTTTTAGACGAGAGTCATTCAGTCAAAGCCGGAGCTTTTTTTTACAATTCTCTTGCCGTTGTCCGGCAGCTGTGCGCCCCCTTTGACGCCGCCATCTTTACCGCAGAACAGAAGATGTATTGCACAAGGCGGGGGGTTCACCGCGCTGGATCCCCTGTCACCGAGCCACCTCCTCCTCCACCTCCTCCTCCTTAGGACCAACAACGATCGAATCCCAACAATGCCCAAACCCTGGTTCCAGAAATGGGAGTCAGTTTGTGTTATCGAATGTTAACAGAAATGCACTGACATCTGTTATCGGCAAGTAGATGATGAGAAAAATGAACCAACAACGAAATCGTTGAATAAAGACTATGATCAGACGAATGATTCCATACAGTTAGGGCTCTATGTCCAGAATAACTGTGCTATATCACCTGCAATTTTGATTAAATGCAAAAATAAATATACGTCTTCAGTTTTGTGTTGGATTTAAATCAATGAACACCAATGTAAATGGTTAACAGTAATTAAAAAGTTGAAAAAAAAAAAGATTCTTCATAGCTCCTGAAAGCTAATGTGATTGTGGGTAACAGTAACTGAAAAGTTGAAAAAAAGATTCTTCATAGCTCCTGAAAAGTATTCTCAATTCTAGATATTCTGAATCATCCTCACAGCTGAATAGTATGATCCCAACTCAGTGTTTCACTCTGGGGACAGTGGTCTTTGGGTTGTGTGCCTCTCCCGCGCCATGCTACATCCACTGGCAGCTTCTCTATGGTCTAATCATTCTAAAGATGAGACTAGTTCAACTTTGTGTACATGCCATTTATGTTTGAATATGTGCACGGTACAGTGAACAGTAGCCGTTCATTCAAAAACACACTATGTCGACCTACTGGTACAGTGAACAGTAGCCGTCCATTCAAAAACACACTATGTCGACCTACAACAGTATAAACATCGCCTGTCAATTGTCTATGTAAATAAATGACATCTGCAGAAAAGGAAAATTTGAAAAAGAAATACAAAAATTGTCTTAACAAAAAAAAATTCCCACCCCCTCCTACAGATCCTCTGAAAATACTTGTGAAATATAAAATACATTTTATACCATTGGCAACAGTATTTGTAGCATGCAGTACCATCTTCTACCAGTTGTTGCTGGTGAGAATACAAATGATCAAATCTTGCAAATCTTTTTTTTTTTTTTTTAAAGATGAATGTATAAGAATGACCACAATTAAAGGTTAAGCAAAAGAGAGAATTAGCAACTTTTGTGTTTTTTATTATTCCTTTCCCACCATTTGATGGATTTGAGGAAAAACAGAAAAAAGGAACACAAAGACAATACTACGAAGATAAATCACAGTTGGCTGGACAAGCCCTCCTCACAAAATAAACAGATGCACTTTTCAGTGTTTGTGCCTCTCGCCTCTTTTCACTGCCAACAAAATTGTCATTATTAACTGGATGTCAAGGGCGTTAAGTAAAATAAAAACCTAAGTAGAACATTTTGTTCTCAAAAATTAAATTAGGTCCTTAGTCTCAGGTAATCAGATAGTTGCATGTTAAAAAAAAAAGTCCCTGCATTGTGTGGAAGTAGTTTCTCAGACTGGAGACATTTCTCCAGCCTTCATAAGAAAAGGAAATATTTGAATACAGTGCCATCTTGTGGTCGTAAGGATTTTAACCGTTCTATGTTTTCCCACTTTGGAGAATCCATCACATATTCAGAAAATTAAATTAATACAGTTTTTTGTAACAACACATATTGCAATTAATAACTTCAAATGTGCAATGTAATGTTTCAGTAGTTCTTTCAAATAATACAATGTACAAAATATATTTATATCAGATACATAGCATATGTATTTTAATTACTATAGCAGCCAGCTGCAATTTCTCCATTCATTTGAATTCACTCTACGTTTGATCTCTACAATTGGTGATTGGCAAAATATAACTTGAATAATATACTTGTAATTGGTGATTGGCAAAATATAACTTGATGAAAGGTTAATATAATTACATCTTCACTAACACAAGCAATACATTTGGGAGTCACAGATTACATCAATTTTGTTCAAATGAAATGTTATCGGTTTTGTTTAAGATTTTGAGTTCTGTGTGAAAGCACCTTTTTTTTAACTTTTTAAACTGTGCGGTGTGAGAACTTATTTAAATAAAAATATATTCAGTTTTTTGGAAAATATACAACTTTTGGATGTAAAAACTTCAGGTTCATGTACTGAGACTAGAGGTTGTCAGAGTTGTACAAAACCCTTTGGAATAAGTCTCTCGACCAATGAATGTAAATGACATTTTTTGAGCTGCACTATGAACATTTGTTACAACAGGGTCCAAGTTACGACCGTCACTAACCACTGGTTACTGCATATATGTATATAGATTGTACTGAGCTGCATTATTGCCACTGTTCTGTTTGGCACAGCGAGTGATTTCACAGTTGGTGAACACAAATCACTGGAAAAAAGAAAACATAAAATTAATATACACGTTTGGTTTGGACTCTTTATGGTCATGCCTTTGACAACCAACATGTACGAAAGGCATCGGTGTGAATTGGCTGTTGGAGTGAAGAGTATTTTGGCACACGATCTCAATCACTCAGCTGAGACCCAAGTGCAATAAATTAAAATAATCAAAGAGCAAAAGTCATGAAAGTAAACTAAGACATGAACCAGGATGAGTCATCAGCAGAACATGAAGCAGGTCACAGCTTTCCAGCGTCCACCACCAAACCCTGCTGGCAGCTCCAGGAGCGAGGCCTCAGTGACTCCAAGAAGGAAGTCTGCAATAAAAAAAAGACGGGTTACGGCACGGCGACCAATACGACGATGTTTTAGGAGTTATTCTCCTTCGTGAATTTAAAAACAGTTGGTCTCAAAAGCGACAAATGAACAGCGACGCTGTGCTTCAAGTGTTACCTCTTTCGAGGGGCAGTAGCGCTGGGCGTACCACTCGTGGGAGTAAAGACATATGATGACTCCCTGACCCACGAACAGCGACGTCCACATGATGATGTTCCAGATCGGTCCCTTTCTTTGGTCGTGCAGTATGAAGTTAAACATCACTGAGAGGAAAAGTAAAGATGAGGGTGGACAAACTCTACATTTGTAATTTTATACTTTTTTAACTGGAATAAAAGGACAAATTGAATTAATCAATTAGACTGATAGAACATAGCTGCATCTCAAACAAATCTCAAAAATTCAAAAAATGTTTCTTGCAATAGTGAAATCTGAATCAAATAATTTGGAACGACCTCTAAATTGTGAAGTGGAACTTTTCACTTACTTCCAAAGCACATAAAAAGGCAGAAGAGCACAGGGTAGAAAAAGCCGAAGCAGACGGCAAGAATATACTCGTGGACCACCGCAGAAACAGTGAAGACAAACAGCATGGCCGCAGCTCTGAAACGCTTCTTAGTCATCTGGAAAGAACATGAGACAAAACGTCACTGCCAGACAATTTACTGTAATCCACGCACAACACTGGTAGTTATTTAACTGACTTTAACTTGTTACAACAGTAATCATTAATTATGAATTTCATGAAAATAAGGCAGCGGCTTATATTCCAATTTAATAAAACCTGAGTGTGAAAATGCCCCAATGCAAAACTCACCCACAGTAAGTCCCTGTAAACATAGTAATACAGCCAGTCATGGACCACTACATTCCATGTACGGTAGTAGTTGGCGAATGATGTTGAATTCCACCAATCCTGTAACGTCCAATAAAATAAAATCATTAGAAAAATGAAATTAAACAGTGAGTAACCAGATTTAAAAAAAGAAACAACACAGTCGTCAATGTAAAGTTTAAGTACTGCAGTAGTTGTAGGATAACAAAAGCATTCGTGTTAAAAAAAAATGAATTGATTTCTCCTTTAAAACGTGCATTAGACTTAGATTTAGAACATCAACAGACTGACAGACTCACCTTGTAGAACATCCTATCAGCAAAACAAAGCATCTCCGCGAAAGCGTTGAGCCAACAATGAAGAAAGGCAAAAAATCCCAGCAAAAGAACCAGCACTCCTTTACAAAGAGAAAGAGAGAAACCAGATGGAATATTAACGTCGTCGTCATGATGTTAGTTTTCACTGCAATCGAGGAAAGTGAGCGTCGTCATTTTACCTGGTAGGATGGAGTTAAAGACACAGAGGACCATAGCTTTAAGGTCAAAGAGCTGTAGACTGACACTGCGAAACTGAGGGATGCACAGTCGCACAAACACATAATAGGCATAAAACAAACAGCCGAGGACCTGGAGGGTGAGAACGGTCAAAGTTAAAGATAAAGATAACAGTGAATGTCTGAGTTATTGGGTTGAATTTTAAGATTCCTGATACCTGAAGTAACTTTGTGGCCACGTATCCCCATCTGATGGTCGGGTTACTGTACAACATGATAAACAACATCTGGTCAGGTATTCACCACGTCAGGTAAGATATCTGCACAGTGTTCAGTTAGAATACAATCACCTACCGTGGATACTTATCCCTGTAAATGAGTGTGGGTGCAAACAGGAAGTAGATATAGTGAAAAACCTGAGGAACCACTGGGCTGGAGCCTGGGGTACAAAGAAGACAGCACTCAGCACTCGGCACAACCAAGAAGTATAAGAAGAAGATTTATAAGTTGAGGAGGTCGGAGGGAGAAACGACCTACTGGTCTTGTTTTTATCCAAGCTCCAAACCTTTGGGACATTCTCTCTGATGAAGGAGTGTGCTTTCATCATCAGACGCACCTGTCATGTTACACAGAGGATAAAAACAGCAAAAGCAATGATTTTAAAATCAGATTCAGATTCAGAGTAAGATTCTCAGTAAATAAATAATGTTCACGAAATAGCAAATTAAAGTACTGTGACAATGCCGTACATGCCATCCTACCTGTTCTAGAATGATGATGAAGCAGGACGCAGGCGGCATACTGTTGGTCACCACCACATATGTGGGAAGAAAACCAAGGCCCAGAGCCTGGTAGAGCAGGAACGCTGAACCAAACAGGAAACTGTACAACCTGGGGTAAGACCCAGACTGGCTCTGTGTCCACAGGTGGAACAGAGAGTAAGGAACCACCAGCACAGTCAGAAACATGCAGATCCACGTGCACACCACCAGGGGGAACTGTCCAAAGGCATAGACCAGCAGGTCGAAGTCCAACACCAGTCTGAGGAGGAAAAGAAAAAAGAAAAGAAAAGACAATCATAGGATTTATTTTACCACCAATAAAAAGAGCGAAGCTCCGCTCACGGAAGCAGCACAAATAAGTGATGTCACATTATACGTTACTGTTGGACGTTCTTATATCTACTGTATCTGGTCAGTGTTGCAGCATGCCATTTAGGGCTCATACAACTTTCATGACCATGTGCTCAAAGATTCTAACATGGTGCCAAAACAAATGTGGGAAGAGAAATTAAATGTATAACGTGAACCAGTCATATATTACCTGCCTTCATCAATGAAATCTACCACCAGTGTACTGAGGATGAACAGAATCAGCAGAGCGATAAACATGTGGTAGATGGTCCTGATGTGGTTGACCTCAAACAGCTCACTGCAGCAGAGAACAGACAAAGACAGTTTATGATGATCCTTTAGCTGCGATAGGTTTAGTTCAAGAAATAAATGAGTCAAGTGTCAAATGAAAGTGTCAACTTACTCCAGGAGTGACCTGCGGCTGACAAACAGCTTCCCTTGGTAATGAGGAGGTCGAAAATGTCTGAAAAGTAAAATGAATTAAGAAAAAAAGAACCAGTTTAATTAGCAGATATAATATAGTACGTTACATGTTAGATTCATGTCTTTAAAGTGTTTTTTTTTTTCAAGTGAACGGTGATACCTGAGTCTGCTCTTGTCCTTGTCCAACACCGGAGGTGAGAAGACGGCAGGAAGTGGGGCAGGTTCTAGAGTGGCCGACTCTTCTATGAGGCTGTCCACAAAGTCACCAACCTGACTCTCCAACTGACGCAGCAGATCGCTTTTCAAAAACTTCAGGAACGATGACCCACAGAATAGACATAGAATAATTTATTTCATTTCTTTCAGATTTTAGGCTGACATTGTTTTGAAATTGTGAGCAGTCAATGACCTGGACAAAAGACTAAAATGAACCACAAACCTCAGCTTTCCTCTTCAGCTCTAGTTTTTTGCTGATCATGTGTTCCATTTCAATTCTCCCTGAAATTGGGGGCAGAAGAATACTGTTGACATACAGTAGAGGTGTGATAATGTAACAGACCTGCTCTGGTAAAAGTACAGTAAAACGGGAAAAATATATACAGTATAAACCCAATTCAGAAGAGAAGTGAGTTTACATTTTTAGTTCCATGGCTCCAGTGTTGTTTCCACTGACAATAACATAAGAAGTTACAGCAAATCGAAAACTACGAACAAAAAAAGTTACTCCAGGTCAGACACCCGCTTACGTCACACCAGCCTCGCTGAGTGAGGAAATATAAGTAAGTTTCCAACTGACAAACTGACAAACTGAAACTGAAGGCCATAGTTGTCAAATGTAAACTGAAGCCAGGTGTTAAAGAGTAAGAAGCTAATCAGCTGTAACATAATAACTCTGGGTTGTACCAGGGTGTGGTCCAGTTTTGGACAAGTGTGTTTGTGTTTATTTATTCATTTAATTCTGCGAGAGAAAATTAAATTTCTCACATTTTTAGAAAGAGAATATTGTGTAAATTTACAGAATTCATTTGCAATCATTTAGAGTTTACAACAATAATAGAAACTAGAAAGAGACACACCAGCCCATCGGTCTGTAAGACTAAAAGAATCTCGTGACTCACGAAACAAATACAGTCATTAAAGTTGTCTGAGGATGAACAAGTTTGTTCAGATACTGAGTAAACCAGCAAAACAAATAATATGACTGTGTATATTAATATGTAATAAAAAAAATCTATCTGCAGTTCTATCCATTTACAATCAACTCCACTAACTATAAGATTATCTCAAACTATAAACGAGGCTCTGTGTCACACTGTGATTACACAAGGAATAAGACAAACCACAACTTGAGCCACTTCCTCTTACAGTACATACTTGGATTTCTTCTTAAATCTGTACTCATCATTAAACGTGGCCACAAAATCACTCTCACCGCCTCAGGTCAAGAGGAAGTCATGACCACTTGACTTACGGCTCAATGACTTACGCCACATTCAGGGAAATTTAGGGAAATGTAGAGGGAGGGGGTTAGTCAACAGGTCTGCTTCACATTTTACTGTTGAAAAAGGTCAACGTCCTGAAGTAGATGGAGCTGCGGCGTAAAAATGAAATGACGACAAATGTCCTTGGGTGAGAAAATGTCTCACCGTTTCTGGTAATGTGGTTGTCTCCACGTCCTCGCTGATGACCCTCCAGACTGGATTCTCCATCAAAAGAAGTGTCCGGGTCAGAGGAGTTGATCTTCTTGGTTGAGGACCTGCTGCGGGACCTGAGGACTCTGTTGTCTTCATTCTCCATCCTGAAAATATCCACAGAAACAGTGACATTAATATGTTTCAAACCATATCTTTTTTTTCTTTAATTTATATTTTATTTAGCTGTCATATCGTTTGGTGAAAACACCCACAGACGTGGAAGACAAGTAACATTTGTCATGTTGACAGACAAAGTAAATACAAAAATCAGATTCACATGACAGCGGACAGCAGAGTTAGCCCAAGCTAATATCAAGAGTTATGGTTACGCGAGGAGTAAAGGAATTTACGAAGTAATTTGTAAAAAAATGTGTAGCGACATTCTTTATTCTATAACAACGATCTTCATTAATACCTTCCCTTGATGTTATTGAGTGTAATTAATGGTTGACAAGAGCTATTTCAATTAGCCAGCCTGTTGTCGTTGACTGTCGTTAGCTGCACGGCAGGAATTTACACAAACCTCAGCAGAGTTAAACACTTCCTGAAGTATACTCACTTGGTTCAGTAACCGTGGTCTTCTCTTATTCACAGGAACTCGGTGTTTCCGCTGTGAAACTCTGTGAAAAGTTGAAGCCCCTCACAGCAGCGACACAGTGAGATGCTGCCCACCTTCTTCATTGTATCAACACGGAGCAGAAAAAGACCTGGGCGCTTGTCGCTGATTGGCCCAGTGTCTCTCTCCTCCTTCTGACGTCATACGCGCACCAGCCCCTGCTGACCGCAGATCAGCCCCCAAATAATCAACGATTAAATCAGTAAACAAAACCAAAAGTTTAGAACAAAACCTGTTACATTGACCAACCATGATAAAACAAAACCTACTGCACAATTTAACATGAAAACTTTAATAATTTATAATAATAATAATAATAATTTATAATAAATAAATAATAATAATAATTTGATAATTAGGCTTACTAAGGCAGGCATAATTAACACCCAACATTAAATTGTATTTCTTTTTAATTGATTTCCAAAGTGTTCATAATTACGATAAAATGTATCACGTACTCGTGCCTTACGGTCATAGATTATTTCACAGCATATTGAATTCTTACTGAAAAAAATAATTTATTAATTTGCTCTTTATAAAACAGAATCATTTAAAATACACAGGGGCAGTTAAAATTATATCATGATAGTGCTGTACGTTGTTTACTGTGCAGGCTACTGAAATGGAATCACAATTTCATAACTTTTTTTAAACACATCATATGACTTTATATGGCATTTATATCAAACATATGTTAAATACAACATGGAAAAATACACATGCAAATAACACTTGTCGGTCATAAGAAACAGAGAGGTCCTGGAACCACGTTGATCTCTGGACTGTGGGGAGGGCCAGACAAGTTTGTAATTTTTTCTCTCTTGGTAAATAAAATCATCATTTAGAAACTGCATTTTCTATTTCCTTGGGTTGTCTCTGTGTCATACTAAAATTGGTTTGATGATCTGAAACCTTTGTGTGTGATAAATATGCAAAAAACACAGAAATCAGGAAGGGGGCAAATACTTTTTCACGGCACTGTAGCTGCATATCCCCACGATGCAGCTCCGTGCTCCCATGAACCTCCACAACCATCTTCACCTGCAAAACAATCAGTCAGACCAGACTGTTTCTTGTACTAAACTAAAAACCAAAACTGCCAAACTAAAAAAAAAGAGTGACTCTTAATAACATTTAGACTGACCTCACATCCTTTTTGTAAAATTCCAATTTGCTGCGATGGAATTTCTTTGCCAGAGTCGCCCAGAAAGTGCATCACCCGTTGTGTTGTTGAATCTGTCACAGCAGCAGCGGTTGAGTTTCCCAAGCAGCTGACAGTCATGTGCTGGAACGACTTATGGCTGTGCAACCGCAGGAACCTCAGCTGCACAACATCCACGCCGGCATATTCAAGCTGATGACGTCAGGAATCAGTGATGATCACATGCACAGAGCTCACTGTGAGCTGATCTAACATAGAGACGGTGCCCATTCAGTCCACTGATGAATTGGTCTCACCTTCGTTCCACCATGTTGCTGGTTGAACCAAAAGAGAGTTCATCTTGATCTCTCATGTTCTGGTTCCCATTTTAACTGAATCTACACAACAAAACAGTGACATTTTTTTCATATTTATTCAAATTAATTTATCATAAAATATAAACTGGACATAGATACTTTTTCATTTTAATCTGTTTTTCCAATCTGCATGTTTTGGGCGTTATGTCTGCAATTTATTTCATGAAATATAATTCACAATTTAAGTTCTAGTGAGACAAAGTGACATATGGAAAATCTCATGACTTTTAATTAAAAAAAAAAAAACATGTTTATAGAACAGTTACCCTCCTGTTTATCCATATCTAAAATCCAGCCCGCGGTCCATCATGGGGTTTCCACGAACAAAAAAGTTGTCTTGTGAACTTTGTAAAGTCTTTTTAAAGGAAATTATTTGTGAAAATGTTTATTGGTTGTTAAAATTTTATGTCAGACCCTGAGCATTTTGTCTACTCTTATTGTTAGATACAACAGTAGATAAATACGAACATCTACCTTGTTATTAAAGTTCTTTTTCGAGATAATCCTTAAAGCTTTTTTAAATCCAAAATCAATTTTGAAATGTGGAATATTTAGTTCTACTTTAAAATATTTTAATATTTTGAATCACACATAATCAAAAAAACAAATTCTGATTCAGATTTTACAGCAGTGTAATCAAAGCCAGAGCATTGCATTTGTATTTTAAAGAACCATTTTTTGACACACTAGGCCTTGCAATACTACAGTTCAGCCTGTGGAGGGAGACCGTGTTCTTCAAAACTATTTCTCTATTTGATCTGAACAGGAAGTAAATAATTAAGATTCTGTTTCTCACTATTGGCTTTTAAATCCATGATAGAACTGAATTAAAAAGAAAAGAAAAGAATGAATTTCTTAAAATATTTATGTAATTTTTAGCTTTATATAAAGGACTCACATTGAAGGTTCACTAATCAGTATTAAAATTAAATTTGACATAAATAGATTATTATTATTAAATAAGTTAATGACACTTTCATGAGTGTAATTTTACTGTTGTTTACACCACACAACAATGAGTCCTGTTTTTTTACAACCAGTAACATCTACTGTGATCTTGGAGTTGAATGATTTTCTCATGAACCAAAAGAAAACATTTAAATGCATTTGTGTTTTTGCTGATTACTAAAGGCAGTCACATGACCTTGAACACGCTCAGAGGGGAAATGGAAAGATAAAAGGATATTCAGCCACGTCACTTCTTCCAGAGTGTTATTAATTACCATTTGACTGTTTACCATAGATTAACATTTGAACATGTCGTACCCTTTGACCTCTGAACCCTCTCGGCCTCGCCTGCTGGCGTGCGACTGGCCGTCTCTGAATCACAGTTTGTGTTTCATCGATCATCCGTCAAAGTCTGATTAGATTCCTCCAAAGACTCTTTTGTCATCTCTGCGTCCAGGTCCAGGTCCCTGTCCTCTCCCCCCCCCACCCCCCGGCCTCTCCCCCGG